GGGGGGAATAGAAGGAAGCCAACCATCGGGAGTCGCTACGCGGGGGTTAGCGGTCGCCATGGCAACTGTGTAGTTATACGTGCTAATGGTCTGTCCTTTTGCCAGGCAACTCACTGCTGTGTGATGCAAGTGCACCTGTCTCCGCTATGGGTTGCCATGGCGACGCTCCAGTTGCCATGGCGCCCAACACGCTAATCGCCTTGCGAGGGCAGACTTACGGCAGTCTTCCCCCTGAAAGCCAGCTGTTCTCGGCGCAGATTGATTGTCTGGGCATGTGATGGAATGCTCCGCGTCGGAGACGGCGAGAAACTTCATTAAATGTTCTTTCGGAGAGAGCGAGGGGGAAAAAAAAGAAATAGAACGGCGAACGCACCGCGCTCCGCATCGCAGAACAAAGTATTAGACTTGCAAAGCGCTCTGCGAGCCGCCGAAATCTTGTTATGAAGCCGTAAAGCCTCGCAGGATCCGCGCGCGGCACGAAACTGATAATTCAACCCGAAATTAAGAGGGACGGCGGCTCCGCCGAGCGCAGGATATTAAACTCGTTTTCGGGGGATCGCGTTCCTACTGAGCGAGCTTTCACCATAAAAAAAATATATATAATAATTTACGATTTGGCTTCTTACACCGAAACCGCACACGAAAACGCGACGGATTCAGCTACTCCCAGCGGGGAAAATGGCGGTATTCGATTTTTAGTATATCTCACTTATGTCTAAAGCGAACCTGTCAATAGAAAGATGCAGAGCCCGGTTTTGCTGACCTAAAAATGCAGATTTTCTGGCTTCCTCTGTCACTGTTCCCGGTCATTCAATGAAGCCGCTGGATCAACATGACAGCCAGGCAACCAGCATTGTCAGCAAGAGGTCAGTTGGGGCATATTTGTATCTAGTTCTAGGGGACATGGAGACCAGACCAGTCATAATGCACAGGTAGAGAGAGCAGCAGTGACCGGTCTATATTACAGGAGGGGGCGGAGACAAGACCAGTCACCCTGCACAAGAAGAGAGAGGAGCAGGGACCGGTCTTTATTACAGGAGGGGGCGGAGACAAGACCAGTCACCCTGCACAAGAAGAGAGAGGAGCAGGGACCGGTCTTTATTACAGGAGGGGGCGGAGACAAGACCAGTCACCCTGCACAAGAAGAGAGAGGAGCAGGGACCGGTCTTTATTACAGGAGGGGGCGGAGACAAGACCAGTCACCCTGCACAAGAAGAGAGAGGAGCAGGGACCGGTCTTTATTACAGGAGGGGGCGGAGACAAGACCAGTCACCCTGCACAAGAAGAGAGAGGAGCAGGGACCGGTCTTTATTACAGGAGGGGGCGGAGACAAGACCAGTCACCCTGCACAAGAAGAGAGAGGAGCAGGGACCGGTCTTTATTACAGGAGGGGGCGGAGACAAGACCAGTCACCCTGCACAAGAAGAGAGAGGAGCAGGGACCGGTCTTTATTACAGGAGGGGGCGGAGACAAGACCAGTCACCCTGCACAAGGAGAGAGAGCAGCAGTGAGCGGTCTTTATTACAGGAGGGGGCGGAGTTGAGACCAGTCAACCTGCAAAAGGAGAGAGAGCAGCAGTGACCGGTCTTTATTACAGGAGGGGGCGGAGACAAGACCAGTCACCCTGCACAAGAAGAGAGAGGAGCAGTGACCGGTCTTTATTACAGGAGGGGGCGGAGTTGAGACCAGTCACAATGCACAAGGAAAGAGAGCAGCAGGGAGCGGTCTTTATTACAGGAAGCTCCAAGTCTCACACGGGATTACTGCACAGATCTGGAAGAAACACACAGGACTCTTGTATGAGAACGATGTCTGCTGACCCCGGAGTTCAGCTTTAAGTGAGATTGATGCAACATAAAAACTGTAAATTATAAACATATTTTGTCAGACTCAGTAAAATAAAATAAAAAAGTATCCTTCCACAAGCCCCGCCCCCGCAGACAGAAAACAAACAAAGCGATACAAAAAGAGTAACAATATAAAGGAGGCGAGGGATCGGCGCGCGGTCAGAGACGCCTCCAGCTCGGCTGCTTCGTAGCAAAGTCTCCGAACAAACAAACACAATGTAACCACAACGAAACCAGTTCAACTGTTCAGAACGGAACTGGTCGCTGCCACGGCAACGGCTGTACACAAACCTCCAGAGCCTGCGAGCCCGGGACGGAGGGAGCAGAGTCGGGTTGGAGGGGATCAGGACAAACTTTGGAAGAACTTTAATGACAGAACAGAAGAGAAGACGGAAGGGAGAGCCGAGGCGGCTGTAGGTGAGTGTACAATAATATCATCACAGTATAGTGTGTGTGACCCGCACCCCACCAATCGCAGGACCCCATCTGTCGCCTTACCTTTGATATGCCTGAGGAGAGGTTGGGGGGGTGTTGAAGACGTGGGAGTAGGGATGGTAGGGAGTCTTTTTCAAGGCTTGGATCAGGTTCTGCCTGTATTCTGGGTCTATACACCACAAGGACCCTTTGCCGATACTCTGAAACACAAAAAGGAGAAGAGAATACGTTAGATGGACGTACACTGGCGAGCGGGAGAGTACAGAGCAGCACGTTCTAGGAATGGAGGCGGCTGGGTGGGCAGCAACATCAGCTGACCTTCTGTCCAGTTCTACGAAAAGTGGAGGGAATGAGAGTTCCACACACACAAAAAAAAAATCCAACTCGCTTCGGGGGCTTGACAATCCCTATTCATCGGGGGCTTAGACATTGATTATACAGACTGGACATCATGTTCTGACATACAATATAATGTTATAATTATTCAGGATGCTGATCCGACCGACCGGCGTCCCTCAATAAGCAGAACTTTATCTTATGTTAGAACCGGTTGTGCCGTCTTCTCATTGTACTGATGGTCCAATGAGATGGGGAATGAGATCGAGGGGTCACTTGTGTTTGTGATTTGAGGTTCCCCCATCTGTACAATAATCTTGGGGTCACTTGTGATTTGAGGTTACCCCGTCACTATAATAATCTTGGGGTCACTTGTGTGTTGTGATTTGTACAGATGGGGGGACCTCAAATCACAAACAAGTGACCCCAAGGTTATTGTGTTGATGGGGGAACCTCAAATCACAAGTGACCCCAAGATTATTATAGTGATGGGGGAACCTTAAATCACAAGTGACCCCAATGTTATTGTACTGACGGGGGAACCTCAAATCACAAGTGACCCCAATGCTATTGTACTGAGGGGGGAACCTCAAATCACAAGTGACCCCAAGATTATTGTACAGATGGGGGGAACCTTAAATCACAAGTGACCCCAATGTTATTGTACTAACGGGGGAACCTCAAATCACAAGTGACCCCAATGCTATTGTACTGAGGGGGGAACCTCAAATCACAAGTGACCCCAAGATTATTGTACAGATGGGGGGAACCTTAAATCACAAGTGACCCCAATGTTATTGTACTGACGGGGGAACCTCAAATCACAAGTGACCCCAAGATTATTGTACTGAGGGGGGAACCTCAAATCACAAGTGACCCCAAGATTATTGTACAGATGGGGGGAACCTTAAATCACAAGTGACCCCAATGTTATTGTACTGACGGGGGAACCTCAAATCACAAGTGACCCCAAGGTTATTGTACTGATGGGGGGACCTCAAATCGCACACAAAGGTTGGAAGGGGAATGTGAATTCATGCAAAATTCCCAAATTGAAGACTGCGCTCTGAATAGTGGCGGGGAGCTGATGTGTCTCTGTGAGCTGAAGTTCTGACAACGGTCCATGGTCTGCCTGGACCTGTACCAGTCAATTGCCCCAATAAAGTTGGCCATACCCATATGGATCTGGCAGAAATTCCGTCAATGGGTGGCCCTGCCGACAGCACCAGCAGATCAGAAAATCAAAAAGGAGATGGGTGAAAAATTCTCATCAATTGTGACAACAGCCAATCAGCTGCAGTCACTGTTGGGATCCTCTGACAGCGATTTGTCCATCCACGATGGGGGAATCTGTTACATTCTGCGTGTGGCCGGCTTTAGGGAATGTCGGGGAAGCAATTACTGACCAATGTTAACGATTTCGGTGACTCCGTGCTGTATTCTGAAGATTCATTTCTCCACAATGCCTATAGCAGCAGAGGTGAGTGCGGGCTCGTTATAAAAGTGATTTCACTGCTTGTTAGGAATATATAAATTAGTTACATTAGCCAACAAAAGATTTGACTTAAAGTGACACGAAACTCAGATATTAAATCTTAAAATACATTCGAAAAAATTAACTCTGAACAACAATGTATCTTATTTGTGTGTCACTCGGCTGTAGATCCTCCAATCATCTCTGACACTGTCCTTCCTTCTGGAGGGGGGCTACGTCTGTTCCCCATGGTCACTGTGTGTGTTGTAGAGTAGTCACCGCTCCAAGCTCCCCCCCCTCCCCGCCCCCGGGATGGACTACAATCTCATGTTTAGTTTACTAATTTGTATTGAGATTGTAGTCCATCCCGGGGGCGGAGCTTGGAACGGTGACTACTTTACAACACACACAGGGACCATGGGGAACAGACGTAGCCCCCCTCCAGAAGGAAGGACAGTGTCAGAGATGATTGGAGGATCTACAGCCGAGTGACACACAAATAAGATACATTGTTGTTCAGAGTTCAGGGACTTCAATGTATTTTTAAGATTTAACTCCTGAGTTTCGGGTCACTTTGAACATCACACATTCTGCATTGGTCAATGGCTAACAGTACAAGAGCAGAGTCCTCCGGCAGAGTATTTCAGGAGAGGAGAGTCATAGAGGAAGGAGCAGAGTCCTCCAGCAGAGCAGAGTATTTCAGGAGAGGAGAGTTATAGAGGAAGGAGCAGAGTCCTCCAGCAGAGTATATCAGGAGAGGAGAGTTATAGAGGAAGGAGCAGAGTCCTCCAGCAGAGCAGAGTATATCAGGAGAGGAGAGTTATAGAGGAAGGAGCAGAGTCCTCCAGCAGAGTATTTCAGGATATTCATTGATAAAGGAGTGTGCGGGAGCCGATGTAAGCGCTCAATATTTGAGTTGCTCTTCCTACATGCCGGCAGTATATAATCCGGTTCAGCCATCTTCAGCTATTCAGCCATTGAAGGACTACATGTCCCAGCATGGCTGATCGTGCTTTATCCATTCATTGTTCGCAGAGGTTCTGTAAGAGTCTTAGGGGTGCAATGTGAAGCTTTATTGCCGTCTGGGAGGATAATGGAGCTAACCGGTCTTAATCTTCCAGAAATGTGGCCTATTTATTTTCAGCATGTACAATGATTCGCACTCAGCCGAGTCCTTTGACGGTGCCGTGAAGAGGCACTCCACTTCAATTAGGCCTCTCCACAAGCCACAGACCCCGAATAACAATCTCCCCGGCTGCCTCCGCACTCCAGCTAAGCGTCAGATAAATGAGAAGATTTCAAAGTCTGCAGAAGCGGATCATCTCGAACCTCCGAGCCCCCCCCCCCTTCCCCAACCATCATTCCATCACACTGGGGCCCCTTATCTTTGGGCCCTCCGAGCTAAAGAACACATTTAATGGCCTCAGGATCCACTTTTAATTATTTAAATCAGATATCGGACAATCAGGAAGCCAGGCACCGTGTAATGAAGCGATGCCCGGCATCCTAATTGGTTGAGAAGCTGGCCAATCAGGAAGCCAGGCAACGCGTCATTTCACAGCGCCTAGCTTCCTGATTGGCTGGGGTCACCAGGTGACGAGGGAGCATGAGGCCGCTTTCTGGCCAATCAGAAAGCCGGGGGGGAGTGTAATGACACGCTGCCTGGCTTCCTGATTGGCCGGGAAGCCGGCTGCATGCTCCCTTGTCACAAGTAACCAATCAGGAAGCCCGCTGCCCGGCTACCTGACACCAGAAGCCCAAGTATCGGGCTAGGCATCGGAGCATTTGGGAAAAGTACGAGTACTCGCCCAAATACTCAGCATCAGCACCAATACCGATACCGATAAATGAGAACCTTCACAGGTCACCAGCAAAGATAGAAAAAATAGAAATCAGCTCCATCTCAGATCATGTAACAGGAAAGATCCAGAAGGACTGTAGCGAGAGAGAGATCGAGATCGAGAGAGAGATCGAGAGAGAGATCGGAGAGAGATCGAGAGAGAGATCGAGAGAGAGATCGAGAGAGAGAGAGATCGAGAGAGAGATCGAGAGAGAGATCGAGAGAGAGATCGAGAGAGAGATCGAGAGAGAGATCGAGAGAGAGAGAGATCGAGAGAGAGAGAGATCGAGAGATCGAGAGAGAGATCGAGAGATCGAGAGAGAGAGAGATCAAGAGAGAGAGAGAGAGAGATCAAGAGAGAGAGAGAGAGATCGAGAGAGATCGAGAGAGATCGAGAGAGATCGAGAGAGATCGAGAGAGATCGAGAGAGATCGAGAGAGATCGAGAGAGATCGAGAAAGATCGAGAGAGATCGAGAGAGATCGAGAGAGATCGAGAGAGATCGAGAGAGATCGAGAGAGATCGAGAGAGATCGAGAGAGATCGAGAGAGATCGAGAGA